CCGGCTCCCGCCTGGACTGTTAAACTTGGGCGGCCGGAAGTCCCGCCCGCGCGGCGTCACGGAGGGCGCGGCCGGGGCGCCCCTGCGGGCGGGCTGGAGCCGGGGCTGCGCTCGGCGGGCGCCTGCACGCCCCGGGACGGCTTTAGGGCGCTCTTGTCGGTCTTACGCGTCCCGTCTGTGCGCCGAGTGCGTGCTGCGTGCCAGGCGCTGGTCCACTCCGGGTCGGCGCCCGGGGACGTGGTGGGACGGGGGGCGAGGGCCTGTGCAGGAGGCGGAGGAGGCTGGTGCTGGTGCAGACCGGAGTGAGGAGGGGAGCGGGACAACGTGCGTGAAAGCCCGTGATCAGGGAAGTGCATGTGGGTTTAGGAGAGCAGACTCTAAAAAGGAGCCCGTGAGAGTGGGTAATAATTACATAGGACTTGCAAACCAGGAAAACCAAAGGGTAAGTACAAGAGTGAGCGCCCGGGCTAACCAACGGCTGACAGCTGAACCCATGCTCTTGCACCAAACACCAAACACCATCTACTTGGGAATTCGGAAGAGAACGCTTCCCAGGGTGGAAAGGGAGACAGTGTTGAGTTTTAGAGTGTCGGTTCTAACGGACCTTTTAAAACTTTTGATGATTTCTGCTAAAAAATGTTTATGGGGCACTTTTTCTGCAAAGTGCTGCTCTTTCATCACGAGTACACACAGGATGAGCTTCTGAACTAGGTACACAGCCGCCAGGGATTCATATTCATGTTGCAAGTCCCGGAAACCTCATACGTCTAGGGGTTTTTTGGTTTTGTTTTTTCTAGAGGAAAAATTATTAAGGTCCTAGTCATGTTCTGGAGGTTGATGGGAGTGGCGAAAGAATCAGTAGAGCAGGCAGAAACCATCCTAATTGTATAGTCTCCAGTTCGGGAGGTTATTAAATCTAACTTTGGCATGGATAGGACCCCAAAAAGTTAGGAACCAAGGAAGGGAGTGCGGTCATAGAACACTGGGACAGTGTTTTATAGAAACGAAAACATTCAACGTGAAAGAATTAAAGCTCAAAACTGAAAACAGGAAAATTGAGATGACTGTATGAAAGAATATGATACAACAAAATATAGTAATACTATAAATATAATTATTGAGCACTTATATTGTGCTAAGCACCATGTATGAGTGTACAGACTGTACAATGTGCATACATACATAGCATACATGTGTAAAATATTTTTTAAAACGGTTTGTACTATTCTGTATCCCTGTTTCACATATGATGAAACAGAGGTTTAAAACTTGCCCAAGACTATGCAGTTAATAAATAGCAAAGACAGGAATTAAGCCCAGAACCAAAGATTATAAAGACTGCATTCCATCTCCCTTCATTTTATGAAGTAGAGTCAAAATATAGTATAAAGTCCATGGTAATTCTCTCTTCCTCCCTTCTGCTGTTACCAGAAGCAGTATCGATACTACACCGGCCCTGGTACAGCCCACCACTCTTGGGGGAGTAACCACCATACCTATGAGCCTATAGTCCTCGCAGTCCTGCAAAATATATTCTACAAGCAATAGAAGCCAAATGGTGGAGAAGAACCTGTTAATACTAGAATTATATAAACATATGCAAGTTTCCAACTGTAAACGTCAAGATACGGAATATTGAAAACAGAGATGTTTAGGTGGGCTGGGGAGATAGCTCAGTAGAATAAGCACTTGCCTGGCAAACGCAAGGGCCTGAGTTCAATCCCCAGTTTCACCAAAAAAAAAAGAAAAAGAAAATAGAGATGTTTCATAACAACAAAGGAGCAAATCCAGAAATTGTACTAATTATAACTATGTGAACAGTAATTAATTTTAGAATCATATGAAGAAAAATATCAGAACTAAGGGGAGTGGGACCATGTCCATAATCATTATTGGGTATTTCAACAGAATTTTTCAGGAATTGTTAGTTCATTCAGACAAGAAAAAGAATCAGTGAAGATGTGGGAGATTTGCCTTTTGGTTAGAACCACCATCTTCAAGTAATTTATTAAAAGAGATACAAAAAGAAAGAGAAGAGAAATCTGGTATAAATAATCTAGGCATTTTAGAAAACGGAGCTGTTCCTTAGGCCATACAGATAGGAATCTACAAGAAACAGTGATACAGTAGACATCAAGGGAATGGGTACTGTTCGAAAAGGAACCACCCAAATGTTACCATGGCAAAACAAGAGTCTACAGTGTTGCCCAGCATGCTGTTGGTCTTAGTGTAAACAAGCAATTTAAGGGCAAGACACTTGCCAAGAAAATTAGTGTACACACTGAGCATAAGCACTGTAACAGTTGAGATAGCCTCATAAGATGCACCAAGGAAAATGACTAAAGAAAGAAGGAAGGCCAAAGAGATGATACCTGGGCTTAGTGGAAGCACCATCCCGTCTCCACCATAGAAGCGCACTTAGAGCCAATGACAAGGAGCCTGCGTTGCCAGAACCTTTTCCTTACGGTTTCACAGCATGAATTCTGCTGTTCAGCACCTAATTCGTGGCTAAGTGTTTAGACTCCGCTGAAAAGTTTTAAAACTATCCAGAATTGTAAGGATGCTTTTCTTCGTTGAATAGGTATGTGATGCCCTTACTACAGAGAAATATTTGGAGCAGATTCTCATACTAACTAGTTGTGTCCTCTTTATTTGTTAGTGTTTCCTTTGCTGAAAGATGTGAGACAGTGTGAAGGTGTGTACCCACGTGGTCAGATATTTATAAAATATTTATATTGTGTTGAAGATCTTCTAACTCACCATGGGATGTATTGAAATGAATGAAAGGCACCATATGGCATTAGAGTCAGATAAATGTTTAAAGCATCCTATTGTGAGTTATGTTCCAGTTCTGATTTGCTTTGACTGTTCATGAACCATTACTTGGAAAGTAATACTGTAAAAGCATTTGTCTTTGTTTACTGTAATAAAATACTATAGACCTTGGTTTACAAAAAAGATATAAAAGGTTTGGGTATTATCAGTAATCCCAACAGATGTTCATAGAACTCTGTACCACCCCCACCAAATGTTATAACATTCTTTTCAAACATTCTTTTCAAATACAGAGGGAACATTTACAAAGATTATGTGGTAGGCCATTCATCACATCTCAATCTATTTTAAAGGAAGAAAACTTACAAAGCATAGGCTCTGATCGTAGTAGCGCTGAATATAGAGAATAATAAAACACCATGAAAGCCTTGAAACAGCTGAAAATTAAGCAGCTTTACTTTTAAACAATTCAGAGGTCAAAGAAGAAATCACATTACAAAGAAAACAGAAAATAACTGAATGATAAGCAAACTGCAACATATAAGATTTATGCAGACAAAGAAAAACATGTAGAAACAGCTGAAGCAGTGCTTAGCACTAATGGGTTTAAATTATAACAAAAAGAAAGGACCAATATAATGATTTTTGTTGTCTGTGAAGGATTCAGAAAAAAGAGCAAATTAGACACAGAGTGAAAATGAGAGTACAAAACAATGAAATTGAAAACAGAGAAACAGCAGAGAAGAATCAATGAAACTGAAAGCTGATGCTTTGAAATGCTTGGTAAAATGGATAAACCCATAGCTAAAAGAGACATAAATCACCAATATCATGACTGAAAGAGAGCTAATCAGGATAGATCCAAAGATCATCCAAGAGGCAAGGGAATGTGCTAAACAACTCTACACAGTGAATATGGTCATCTAAAAATGAAGTACTTGGAAAGACATAAATATTAAAAGTAGCACAGGAAAAAAGTCACAATGGACTACAGAAAGCTACTTCATAATTAAGAAAATCCAACCTTAAGATCAGATGCTTAATTACTGAATTCTGTCAAACATATAACAAGTACTACTGGTTCAATACAGACTTTGTAAGAGATGAGGAAATATTTCTTAAAATTTAGGGTTTTTTAATTTGTTTTAAAAAATCATTTATTTATTTATTTATTTATTTATTTATTTGGTATAGGGTCTCCTACACATCTTGGACTCGTAGTGATCCTCCTGTCTCAGCCTCCCCAGCACTGAGATTACACGTGTGTGCCACCACCCCTGGTTTCGGGGTCAGCTCAGCATGGGGCTGGCATGACATGCAGAACCAAGAATTGAACCCAGGTCCTAGCTCTTGCCAGGCAGGTGCTTAAACCAGTGAGCTATCCCCTCAGCCCTTAAAATCAGTTTTTAAGAATAGTATTTCTCTGATACTAAACCTAGACAGACATTTTTAGAAAACTATAGATTTTTTTATCCCTCTTACTACAATTGGAGGTTTTAGGCAACTTTATGTATTTATAGGTTGTGCAAATTAAATCCAGGAATACACAAAAAG